ATACCCAGAAGTAGACTTCCTGTCTCCAACAGAACCAGCCCAATATGCATCAGTATACGCTTCAATTTCAATTTTATTGTGTTTTTTGAACAAAATTCCTTTTCCTGGGCAAGTCTTCAAATACCTAAGAATCCTTTCCGCTGCTCTCATATGAGGAATCTTTGGAGAGTGCATGTACGGCATAAGCAATATCTGGTCGAGTGAGAGACATATATATCAATTTCCCTACTAGTTTTTGGTATCTCTCTTTATCAAGGTAGTCCTCTCCAACTGATTCCTGTAGACAATGATTTTGTTCTATTGGAGTATCTACTTGTCTACTCCCCATCATACCTGTCTCCTCTAGAAGATCAAGGGCATACTTCCGTTGACATATATAAATGCCCTCTTGTGACCTAGCAACTTCAATTCCAAGGAAGTATCTCATATGGCCCAAGTCTTTGATCTCAAACTCAGATGCCAAGAACTCCTTCAATCGTTTTATCTCTTCTAGATCATTCCCTGTAATCACCATATCATCCACATAGACAATGAGTGTCGTAAGTCTGCTATCCTGTTTCCTTATGAACAAAGTATGATCTGCACCACTTTGAGTGTATCCCATTCTCTACATGGCCCCACAGAGCTTCTCAAACCAAGCTCGAGGGGACTGCTTAAGACCATATAATGCCTTTCTCAGTCTAGACACTTTCGCATCAAAACCATAACCTGGTGGAGGATTAATGAATACCTCTTCATGTAGATCGCCATTTAGGAAAGCGTTCTTCACGTCCAACTGATATAGCTCCCATGAGAAGTTTGTAGCTAATGACAATAGAATACTGATTGTGTTGAGCTTTGCAACTGGAGCAAAGGTCTCTTTGTAGTCAATCCCTTCCTTTTGAGTAAACCCCTTTGCCACTAGTCTGGCCTTGTATCTTTCAATGGACCCGTCCTCCCTATGCTTTACAGTGAACACCCACTTGCATCCCACAGTGCTCTTCCCTTCTAGTAGATCCACTAATTCCCAAGTCCTGGCTTTCATTAAGGCTTTCATTTCTTCATTCATAGCCTCTTTCCATTTTGGGTCAGACACTGCCTCTGAGTACCTAGTAGGAACATGCACGGAAGAGAGAGCAGACACAAAGGAATAATAACGAGGAGATAAACGTGAATAAAAAACATATTCAGCAATGGGGTGTCGGATAGTACAAGAACGGGTAGGCTTACGAAGAGCAATAGGGAGATCCAAATCAGAAGTATGAGTGATAAGATTACCTAGAGTTGTTGAGACAGATTGATCCGACTCCGATTGGTTGCTGCCATGAGTTGGAGGGTCTTTTTTCCTTCTGTTGTAGGTGATTCTCATATCTTTTTGTTGCCTATTAGTGTCCTCAGTTACATCCACAGCATCAAGAGTGGTAACAGGTTCAATGGGAGCCTCACTAGATTCACCTGGGATGCTACAACTAGGAGGATCAGGAGGAGAAGGTGGAAGGCCCAAGGCTGAAAGAGGCACAAAAAAAATGGAGAAGAAGAATCCTCTTCCATCCCACTAGTCTCACCCTGAAGAGGATTCTGGGAAGAATGAAAATAGGATTGAGACTCAAAAAATACCACATCYTTTGTGACRTATTTCTTCTTGGTRRCKGGATCATAACACTTGTAACCCTTCTGTGTAGGAGAGTACCCTAGAAAGATTCCTTTTGTAGCCCTAGGATCCAACTTGGTCTTCTTTGGATCCTTTACATGAGTAAAACATACACAGCCAAAGACTCTAGGTGGAAGAGAAAAGTCTGGAAAATTAAGGCAAAGGACAGAGAAATGAGTTTTCATACCCAACACCTTAGATGGCATCCGATTTATCAGATATGATGCRGTAAGAATTGCTTGAGACCAATAGTGCTTGGGAACCTTGTGCTGAAATAGTAAAGCTCGAGTTGTCTCCAATAAGTGTCTATTTTTGCACTCAGCAACCCCATTCTGTTGAGGGGTACTAGAACAAGATGACTGGTGTAGCATTCCTGCATCCTCCAAGAACAGGTTCAAGGAACTTTCAAAATATTCAGCAGCATTGTCTGAATGGAATTGCTTAATCTTCTTGTCGAATTAAGTTTCAATCATTTTACAAAATGCCATGGTTATCCGTGGCACTTCATCACGTCCTTTTAACAACTAGATCCATGTGCATCGTGAATAGTGATCATTAAAGCTGATAAAGTAACGAAAGCCATCTACAGAAACAAGAGGTGAAGGGCCCCAAACATCAGAATGGACCAAATCAAAAGGAGCTTGAATTCCATTACTAGAAATGGGATAAAGATTTCTACATTGTTTTGACAACTGACACACTTCACAAACTAAACTTTGACTCGAAACACNCTCCAAAGATTTCAGCCAGTGATTAACCCTTAAGTGTATCAATTCAGTTAAATTCTCCATAGATCTTTCCTTGTCTGAAAAAAAGTCTAGAGTTCCTCTCTTCCCATACGGACCAGCACACAGCCGCTCTAATGCTTCTCCACATGATCTTCCCTCTTTTCTTAGGTCATCTTGAGAACGAAGGAGAGAACAAGCTTTGCAAACTCACGGGGGGATTCCAAGTGCATCCAAACAAGGATGAAGCCCACTCCCATATAGTCTTAGTAACCAGACAAGTAACCATAAGGTGGTTAGTCGTTTCCCCATTAGCTTTACAAAGAACACACCTATTGGGAAGTAAGCAAGAATTAGGTCTCTTTCTTTGAARCAAGTCAGTTGTGTTTATTCTTTCCAGGAAAGTCTTCCAACAAAAACTACCAACCCGAGGAGGAATGGGTTTACACCAAATCTCATTAACAGGGAAGGAAAGGCCAGAGAGAGCAGGAGGATGGACCAAGGTCTCAAAAAACTGATCTCATGTAGTTGGGATAAGGCTTGGATGACAATCATGATGATGACGTATTTGTAGGGGTAATTTGGTTTTATAGGCCTCAATATTAAAACAAGCCAAGTGGAACAATCAGATCTCTCTAAGGTAACTCAAAATAACCTTTTTTTTGGTACCTTTGTTCAATAATTCATAACAAGGGAGAGACTAATGAGGATGTTGCCCAAAAAAATACAGCAAGATGGACAAAATGGAGATGTGCATCTGGAGTTTTATGTGATAGGGTGAATACCACTAGATTAGAAGGAAATTTCTATAAAATAGTTGTCAGGCCAACTATGCTATATGGAGCAGAGTGTTGGGTAGTCAAGAAACATGTCCACAAAAATGTATATGGCAAAAATGTGTATGCTAAGATGGATGAGTGGAAAAAATAGAAATGATAGTTTCATAAATGATGAGGAAGTGGAGGGACGTGGCTGATTCTACTCCTGCTAAGGAGGTGGTCAGGCCATTGTGGTCCCCACCCTTTAGTGGTTTCATTAAACTTAATTTTGATGGAAGTAGTGAAGGTAATCCAGATCCTTTCGGCATTGGAGGGTTTTCAAGAATGAAGAAGGAAATATCATTGCGATCTTCTCAGGCCCAATTGGTGAAGGGGATTCCTTAAGAGCTGAAATTAGGGCTGTTATGGAAGGGATCCAAAAGGCTAAAGAGCTGAATATTAGGAAGTTGGTGATAGAAGGTGATTCAAAGCTTGTAATTAGTTGGCTTCAAAAAAAGGAGGAAGAGGGATGGTGGTGCTACATTCACGAAAAGAGATAAGTTGTTAAATTGCTGCAAGGGGTAGAGGTGTCTTGTAATTTGGGTCAAAAGGGATGCAAATGCTGTTGCTGATACGCTTGGTAAACAAGGGGTGGGAAGGAATGAGTTATTTTGGGTTGTTTTGTGCTCTTCCTTTAGGGGAGGGCTAAGAGTGTTTATCCCTCCCCCTTATTTGTTCTAAATTTCGTCTTTTAATAAAATTGGTACTGTTATTGATCAAAAAAAAAAGATAGTTTCAGAAATGAAGTCATTAGAAGGAACTTAGGAGTACCTCCAATAGGTGAAAAATGAGAGAAAGTAGAGTAAGATGGTTTGGTCACATGCATGGAAGATCATCAACACTTCATAACACCCGTAAGAAGAAGCAATCTGTTGCAAGTTGAAGGGGCTAGAAGGGCATGAGTCAAAGTAGCAAGAAATGATTTAAGTACCCATAATTTAACAATGGATATTGCATTAAACAGAACAGAATGGTAAAACAGGATTCATGCAGTTGACCCCATCTAGTTGGGATCAGGAATACAATTTGGATGATGATGATGGTGACGAAGAGGGTTATGATAAGTATTTGTGCCCTTCTTCCTTTCTTCATTAGTAGAAGTGCATACCCTTGCAAGATACACAACACAATTCATCCATGTCAACATCCTTACCCATTTGTGTTCCCTCTATCTAAATACATCTGCTTTTTAATTGACAATTGCAAAAATTGATAGCAAAGGTATAAAAGCATTGCCATTGCAAACCCCAAGGCCCAAGAGAAAACAAAGTGTAACACAGGGAAGGCCTATCCTTGCAAAAGAAAAGGTATTCATCTATAGCCAACATGTAAATAAGGCAGAAACCGTATCAGCAAACTGGAAACCCTATAGAGATCACTCTACCCTACTCCTTGAAAAAAAGTATAATATTCAAGTTAACAAATATCAGAAGTCTTAAGAAATGACTTAAGTACTTGTTTGCTGGAGAACAGCAGCCGAAGAAGAAGAAGAAGAAAGAGATCTGTGAATGGTGGCTTAGTCACTTCAGCCGGCCCTAGAATCTTATATAAGTGTTCACAATGTAACGTTACAAGAAAGGACTAGAATGCCCCTGATTAGTGATGGGACACCTAAACATAAAAAGAATAAAACAAGTTTAGGCCCAATAACTAAGGCCCATAATAAGTTCAAGAACTTAAAACATAAATAAGACTAACATAAACACTAAACCAATTGAACCAACAGTACTATAATTTAACAGTGGATATGGCTTTAAATAGAACAGATTGGAAAAACAGGATTTATGTAGCCAATCTAATATAGTTGGGATAAGGCATGGATGGTGATGATGAAATATCAGAGGTAAGAACCCAACAGTACAAGGGGTTCATCCCAGATGTAGCCTTTCTTATTACACAGCCAAAGTGTGTATAAAACAGTTTTTTATAAAATTGCCAGAAAAGATAATTGTTCAGCTTCCCTATCACCAAAAGAAGAGATTAATGAAATAAAAGAGATGGATACCCAAAATTGTCTCTTAAAGTCTGGACCCAACAATGATAGCATGCTTACTTGTCCATATTCACTGACTGTATCAAAACCCACGATACCAAGGTCCAGATCTCCTGAAAGTAATTTGCGAACAATATCCTTGGGCCGCTGAAACCAGACCTCTAAGTTTGCAAGCTGCACTAACACATTTAAAAGTTAATTAAAATAAAATAAGTCATTGATTATTGATGGAAAAAAAAATTCAAAATGGCATCTATGTGTTGTCAATTTTTCATGAAAAGCAATTGCAGAAAGCAATACAGATAAAAACCTAGTATAATGCTATTTTACTGGAAACTGGAATATCTGCAATATCTTCCAGGAAAAGTAGCAAAGCAAACTAACCAATGGCAACGCAAAAGAACAAACATGAAAACATTAAATGATATAAAATACACACCTGCGGAATATCTGCAACATATTGTCGAGGATTTACCTGCCTAACTGAGAGTTGGCAATCCTTTGTGAAAGACAATACAAAAAAAATGAAAGGCACATTAAGATTAGAAGAAGAAAAAGAAGAAGACCATGCAGCCGTTATGAAAAAGGAAGATAAATGTAACCAAAAGAAGATACCTTGAGAAGATCAAGAGTATCTGAAGCCATTCGACCTTTACTTGGTAATCCAAAGCGAATCTCATTTCTCTCTGTGACCCTTCTCTCCACAGCTAACGAGGGAGATGGTAAAGAGCAGCTAAAGGTTACACGCTTTACAGGGTTGTAAGATGATGGGCAAGAAGGAGAAGGAGAGGAAGAAGAATGTATTGAAAACGTGCAGAGAGAGGGGATAGGTGTACAGGGAGGAAAACGTTGTAGGAGAGTTTGGTATAAGATCATGGTTGAAGGATGCCTGGAAGCAGCACCACTTCAAGCTACACTAAAACAAATACAGAAAAATAGAATGAACATGTATTCAAATATTTAGAATTCACATAGCCCACAAGGAATGTACGAATCTGAAAATAATGAACAACTCATCAAGAATTAGTCCATGAAACTACTAATCTGAGAATTCAAAACCTACCCAAAAAAGAGAATGGGGAGAAAACCACAGTAAAAAGACAACACAAGACAGAATATCCACAGAAGTAATTGAGAATTAGAATTTTAATTCCTTGACCATGATAAATATTCATGCTTCCAAATCGAATTAGTAAATAGTAAGCAAATTACAAATCAAAGCCAGAAAATCGAACATAACAAGCAGAATACCAGAAGAAGGGGTTGAAGAAGGCAGCTTCCTTTGTGGTTAAGTCCGTGAATGTTCTAAGCTAGTTCTGCTAAACCTTTTGCATTTGCATTTCAATGAATTTGAGCAGACAACTCTCGCCTAGACCGGAGGCAGTGTGCCGGTGTGGTTGAACTTCAGAAAAAAATAAAAAATAAAAGAAAGGAGGCAAGGGGAGGGGAGGCGAGCGAGCGAGCGAGCGGTAGATCGGATCAAGTGGTCTACATCCATATTTGAACCTCTCGTAATCAAATTCGAATAGTATCTTAACCGTCCGATTCAGGTCGGACTCGGATCGGGCATGAACATTAAACGTAAAATATTATATATTAGGAAAAATCTATTTCGACCTTAAAAATGAAAACGGATCTACTCCTCACGCAGCGCGTCTCACACCGACTTCACAGAGACATTCCACCATATATCGGAAACATCTCCATATTTATATATTATTCATGTGAGATATTCTCACTGAACGGTGGATGTATCTGTGAAATCGGTGTGAGGTACGCTGTGTAAATAGCAGATCCGGTTTCCTTAGAAATTACTCAAATCAGAATAGTGACGATCAATGTTGAGAAAAATGGACCAGCCATCAAAGTGGAAAAGGGAGCGGTGGGTCAGAGGGAGAGGAATGTGGAAAAATGAGCGAGTACATAGTTCCTATAGAAAGCTACATATCACTTCCGCAGGTGATCCAAGCAAGTAGAGAGGGAGAGTTGGTAGAGTCTGGATCACCTACCAACAATACATCATCCAACTCTCTACCAACATAATCTCACACCGCCTGTCTCATACATGGCGGGTCCCATTTAAGGGTGTTAATAATATTCGAAATTTTGATTTTGAATTCAAAATTTGATAAGTTATATATTTATAAATATAAAATATTTAATTTATATAATTTATATATATAATAATTAAATTATATAAATAAGTTATGTATTTATATATTTTATATAAATAAAATATTTATTCTATATATTTACTAATTACTTAAATTAATTAGTCGAATTCGATCGAATATTCAAATATTTAATCGAATTTGAATTTGAATGTTATTTTTCAATATCCAATTTTCTAGTCGGATTTGAATTCGAATATTGCCTAATCTAGTTCGAATTCAATCCGTTTACACCCCTAGTCCCACTTTTATGATGGGTCTCTGTCTCATGGTGAGATATGTGGTGTTAGATCAAGTTGATACTTGGTAGAGGGTTGGAATGTGTTTTGTTAATTTACAGAAGATTCCAACTCAAGTTAGTAAAGAGAGAAGGCAAGAATAAGCAAATCTATACTACTTAAAAAAGCACAAACAGCCCAAGTAATATTTCTTCAATTTTTTGAGAACAAAATTTACCCTTCTATATTTAAGTTTATTAATAAAAAATGAAGACAAAAGGGTAATCAATTATTAATATTAAATGAGTTGAAAAAGAGACAATCATAAAGTATTCAATGCATTCAATTTCCTCTCCTTAAATCCAACACTTAAGGTATTAATTTGCATTCACTTTCATTGAATTATATATTTAAGGCACTTTTATTTCTTCTCATCATTAAGTTCTATTAATTGAATCCATACATAATAAATTAATAATTCTAATAACATAAAAACATACTTTTAAAATTTAACTGAAAAAAAAAATAGTGTTTTCATCTAGGCAGTGGTAAGAAATTAAACCATTTTGGGTCAAATGGGCCAAGCCAATCCATGTTGTCACAATTAAATAATAAAATTCAAAAATGATAGAATGCAAAAAATATAGAGATTAAAAAAATAGGAAACATTTTTAACATCATATATTCAACATATTAAACAATAATAAGTATGATAAATAAGAAATGCTTTTATTAATGATGGAAAACGAATGTAAAATTTAAAACTATTTTCCTATTCTCTCATTAAATCTCATATTAAGGTATATTTTATTATTAAATCCACATAATTAATTTTAATATTATAAAAGTAAATATTTTGAAAAATAATTTGAAAACAAAACTATTTTCTTCCCTCCCAATGGTGGGTAAGCAATTCAATCATTTTGAGTCAAATGGGTAATAAATAATGTCATAATTAAATAATAATAAATTAAAATATATAATGCAAAAAATAAAAAGAATTGGACATATCTCTAATATTGCATATTCATTATACTAAATAAAAAGTACACATAAAATGTAAGGAGTAATTTTATTAATAATATAAATGGAATGCCAAAGTTAAAATCAACCTAAAAATGAAATGATGTCATAGTCAAGTAATAAAGTTTTAAAAAATAGAAAATATAAATAATAACATAAATAAAAATAAAAAAATGGGCATATATCTAATGTTATATATTCATAAAAATAAACATTAGGTACATTTCTAATATTATACATTCATTATCAATAATGGAAACGTAATATAATAGTTAGTGTCAACCTAGAAATCAAATTATTTTCCTTTTTAGGTTGTGGGTTAGGGGTTTGGGTCAAATGGATTAACTAATGATATGATAGTTAAATAATAAATCTTTAAAAAATAAAAAAGAATTACAAGTAATCAAAAGAATATATAAAAATTATGTATTAATTATATCAAACAAAAAATTAAGTATGATAAGTAAAAACTATTTATGTAATGTAGATGACATATAATTTAAAACAAATCCAAACGTAAAGTTGTTTTCTTATCTAGATGGTGGGTCAATGATCCAACTTTTCAAAGAAACTCATGATGTCATAATTAAATAATAAATATTTAAAAAATATATATAGAACACAAACAATGGATAAGTACAAAATTTTGTCGCATTTGGGAACATTTATAATGTTATATATTCATCATAATAAATAAAAATAATTGTTATAATGAAATTTATTTTTATTAATGGCAGAAAATAGAATACAAAATTTAATTATAATAGTAGTAATAGTGATAATAATTGTTATTGTAATTTAAAATTTCCATATGCAATGCACGTGCACATTTACTACAAGCATTTGAGTTTTTCTAATCATATTGTTAATTTTTAATTTTTATTTTAATTATGATATATCTAAAATTCAAGTAATTAATATGAAAAAAAATTCTCACGTGCAATATACGTACTTAATTACTAGTTGTGCATAAATGGAGAGAAAGCAATCAAAATAAAGTAATTTGTTTTCAATGTTTTAGCCCAAACAAACAAAGAAATAAAGCAAAAAAATAAATCAAAGAATCACATTGATGGAGTTGAGATTGGAGTTAGATTTAAGCATGGAAAGAAACCAAATGAATGAGATTAATTGAGAATCCTCATTCTTGGAATTCAATTTTTTTAACTCCATAGAATCGCATTGGTGGAGGATTTTTCTCATCTCGCTTCGAATTGAATGAGAAACAAAGGTTTGGCAAACAAGGCACCAATTGCGGTTAAACAGGTGGTCATATTATGATGATATAATAAATAAATAAAATGTTTATCAACTAATGGATAAATATACAAATAAGAAAATTTTAAAAATCTCACTAGACATAGGGTAAGCAAATTAGTAAATTCTATTTAGAACCGAAAGAAACCGACCCTACCCGATCTATTATAGGGTAGGGTTTGGTTCCAAATTCTTAGAACCGACCTCCACCCCGTTCCAAGGTCTAGGGTTTTACCTTGCCTAAACCAATTGGCCTTAGTGGAACCAAACTTGCTTTGAAATAAACCCCATTTTTGAGGACATGAAGATTTGAACCCAAGCACTCATGGTTACAAAAGCCATAGTCTCACTTGACCATCAATTTATTAAGTGATTTGATCATTTGCTTTCATTTTAAAATTTTTATGTGTGTAATAAATAATGTAAAAAGTAATATTTACAAAATTTAAATTATACTGACAAATTTTCAACCATATATTAATATATTATGATAATCTACATATTAAATTACTCAATTTAATCAATAAAGATAATATACGTTTTAGAGTATATATTATTATTATTGAAAATCAAGTTTTGAAGGACATGTTTCATGTTTTTTTTTTTTTTGAAGGGGGATAGTAAAGAAATAACAAGTTCCATGGATAGGCCTTGGAACCAACCCTAGAACCACCAAGGCCAAAATTGACCCCCTATAGGGTAGGTTCCAAGCTTTGCCATGGAACTGAATCGAACCAACCCATGCTCACCCCTAGTAGACAATACAACAAAAACCAAACATTTATTTGTTTTGGCTTCTACAAAACTAAATGTCATAACGTCCTTGTTGTAGTAATTCTTCCCCATTAAAAATGATGTCCATCATGAAAAGTTAAAATAATGAAGGGTAAATTGTTGAAACTTCCCTTTAAGCTCAGTTTGGAAGGAGTATAAATGCAAATATGTACAATACAAATACATACAAAATAATATAAAATACAAGGTTTTGCACTCTACAAATTTGTTTGTACTCCTTCCAAACTGAGCATTGAGTTTCTAACCATCGTTGAAACTTACCCTAAAGTTTTGTAATTTTAATCACCTCCCCTAAACTTTCAAACATAGTTTCAAGTAGACCCCCTTTGTTAAAATCTTCTAATAAGATGCACGAAAATGTCCAAAATATCCATGCAAGTTATTGATTCTAATAGGCTGGTTTCTATAGAAAAAACACTACAAACTTTATGAACAAAAAAAAAAGTGTTTAAAGGGCAAATTTGAAAAATAAATCAATTTTGGAAAGAGACCGAAGAGGCTTGGGTAGTGATTGATATGAAGAAAAAATTGGAAAATAAACATTTTGGTCAAAATAATTGCATTGGTATTTTGGACATTTTTGTGTCTCTTACTAGAGGATTTTAACATAAGTGATCTATTTGCAACTTTATCAAAAAGTTTAGGGGAGGTGATTGCAATTACTGAACTTTAGGGGAGGTTTCAACAATTTATCCAATAACGAATAAAGACTTTTCTAATCTTATGAAACCGGAACTGGTTTACCAATTCCCCTAGGATCTGTTTGGCATCATTCCTACATATTTCTGTTTCTAAGGAAATTCTTGTTTTGGAACAATAATCTTGTCTCTTATGACCGATTTTTTGTTATAACCAATTATAGCCTAAACAAACCAACTAACAAACCGGTTCATGGTTTTACTAGTCAAACTAGATCTGGTTTGATTCCCTAAACATTGGCAATAATAAAAAACATCACTAAAGAGAAAATTGTATCCAATAAAGAGTATAAGATGGAGCATTTATTACTATG